AAAAAAAATAATACCAAAGTAAAAAAAACCCCCACCAACAACAAAAAGCACCCACCCCCAACCAAACAAACAAAAAACAAAAACAAACAACCCAGATGATGATGCACCATAAAGAAAAGTAATTACAAATTGTGTGTTTTCCTTCGGGTTTAGTCTTTCAGAAAAAAACCCAAACAAACTTGGTGGTGTTAGACTATACGTAATCACGACTTTGGAAAATGTGAGCGGTTGGAGGGTGCCTCAGGTAGGTCTTACTTCTTTTCTTTCCCTCTGTTATATTTGCCTATCTGTCTTGCTTCTTCCCGCCAGCACTGTAGGGCCTAATGACTTTTATTGTGTTGGCGTGCTTCTCTTTATTCAAACTCAAACCTCAATATTTTAATTGTTATTTAAAAAGTTAATTTAAATTAAGAATTTATTTACATCAAATTTTTAGCTTTTTAACATTTTAATAGAAAATATTGACCAAAATCATGTTGTGCAGTGAACTGTTCCGGATAGAACCGACTTTTTTATTCGCACGCTCTATGGCCTTAAGCAGTTGCGAGCGCCGTAAAACTCTTACTATAAAAATATAAATACTCAAACTTCAACTGTAAACAATATTTTATAACATCTTTGAGATTTCTTGTTTGTTTTAGTAGAGGTTTTACGGCGCTCGCAACTGCATAATATGAGCGCTGAGACTTCTGAATTCCAAGGTACCACCAAAGAGAAATAATTTGCTTACTTGCTCCCGTGAGATTTGATTGGCTAGAATGTAGGGCACCGTGTTGGTAACGGCCCGGAAGAAGCCTAACCAGGCGGAAGCGATGAAGAATAGCCAGACGTGGGGGGAAATGGCGAGAGCCAGACAGATGGCTACATGTCCGGACACAGACAGCCACATAGCACGGCGGGAACCTGAGAGAGATAGTAAAGAGGCAATAATAATAATATTCATCTGAGAGAGATAGTAAAGAGGCAATAATAATAATATTCATCTGAGAGAGATAGTAAAGAGGCAATAATAATAATATTCATCTGAGAGAGATAGTAAAGAGGCAATAATAATAATATTCATCTGAGAGAGATAGTAAAGAGGCAATAATAATAATATTCATCTGAGAGAGATAGTAAAGAGGCAATAATAATAATATTCATCTGAGAGAGATAGTAAAGAGGCAATAATAATAATATTCATCTGAGAGAGATAGTAAAGAGGCAATAATAATAATATTCATCTGAGAGAGATAGTAAAGAGGCAATGATAATAATATTCATCTGAGAGAGATAGTAAAGAGGCAATAATAATAATATTCATCTGAGAGAGATAGTAAAGAGGCAATAATAATAATATTCATCTGAGAGAGATAGTAAAGAGGCAATAATAATAATATTCATCTGAGAGAGATAGTAAAGAGGCAATAATAATAATATTCATCTGAGAGAGATAGTAAAGAGGCAATAATAATAATATTCATCTGCGAGAGATAGTAAAGAGGCAATAATAATAATATTCATCTGAGAGAGATAGTACAGAGACAATAATAATAATATTCTTACAGACTTCAACATAAGTTAACCCTATCCGCACGTCGAGTTCACTATCCTATCCGTACGACGTGGGGAACTCTGTGCATTACTTTCCGAAGAGGAAATTTACCCGACAATCCGATCCGTACGCTTTGCATAGCAGTCTGTCATTTATTTTTTTGGGGAGAAATATTGAAAGTTTGAAAGAGATCTTTGCACTAGAATTATTCAAAATTGTGAAGAATACAACCCGGGGTACAAAATGAACCCAGGGCGTGCGGATAGCGTTAAAGACCACTTGCAAATTTGGCTAACATTCCGCGAGGATTTTTGTGCTCCAATAATGTTATTATGACGAGTCCCGACGGTTTGGTCCACTAGGTAGGCCTACTTACAGACTTCAACATACGTAAAGGACCACTTTGACCGGGAGCCGTGCTTTTTTAAAAAATCTGAAGAAAAAAAAAGACAGCAAGGAATGTTTCAAACTTTTTTGCTTTGAAAGTGTTAATAGATTACCAGTGCGGACTGCAAAGCTCCCTAAAGGGGCAGAGCCACTATGTGCATCCTCGGGGAATTTTAGCCAAATGTGCTGTTTTTCATCGGCTTGTACGCAACACCACAGACATTCCTCCCTTAAAATTTCTGGTGCACGTCATAAACGGACGTACGGTCTCGAACTGTGCTCACTTTGGTGGCAATATAAGCCTCTGTTTGCGCAAAATCCAGTATCGCATCAATATACTACCGAGGCAAAATCTGAGAGACTTTGATCGTGCCATAGCTAAAACATGGCTGCAGGATGGAGTTGGAGCCCGAGGAGTAGTCAGAAGGTTTGCAGTGTCACACTCTGTCATTGTCCCCCTGAGGCAGCGCCATCAAGGCCAATGGAGCCAGTCCTAGAACGCCTACGTGCAGGTCGACCCAAGAAGCCACACAGAGAGTT